GATTCAAATCCATCAGGTTATCACAAAAAAAAATAAGGTCGGATACTTTTCTCACAGGCCTCGTATTTCTTTAATCATTCTATTTTAGTTTATAGCCATAACCTTTATGTATAGATTTGTATGTGTGGTTATTTTAAGAACATCACTTCAGATATCATGTTGTTAGAACATCGCTTCAGCTTTGATGTTGTTAGAACAGTTCTTTTTATGTAGTAAAATATTCTAAAAAGTAATTTGCCTTTAAACAATTCTTCATTTAACTATTCATTGTGTTCATCTACAAAGAAACTTGCCTTTGGGATTGTACTCCCTTCTAGATCAAAAGATACTGATACTTTTAGTTAGTGGCTAAACTGGGAACCCCACTTGTTACTGTTACTTCATTTGTCATGTTTGGTGATGATAGTGTGTACTTTCTAATATTGTATGTTTAAGTAAAATAACTAACAAATGTGTTATTATACTGGACAATCATGAAGTTTTATTTTCACTAAACTTGGGGTTTTATTGTCTGATAACTTCAGCCTGTCCATCTGTGAAATCTTTGATAGAATCAAGTTGCCAAATTCTTATAGTTCTTTCTGTTGAAATAAACTGTCAAGCTGTGAATAAAGATTCATATTTAGTTCTTACAGCATTGTTGTATCTGAGAGAAATATTTTTTTGGTTTCAGTTATGGAGAAACTAGTTACAGCCTCAAAGATGCTCAAGAACTCCGGATGAAACTGACTAAACTAGCAGAAAATATTGATATCATCAGGTAAAAATTTTACTTCTAAATCTTACATTTCACATTGTGTCAGGAAAGGAAATGTACTAAGCAAGAATTTGTCCATTTTGACATCATAAAAAGATATTGTTGTCAATTAATAGATGAATACACTATCAAACATATATAGAATTTGTTGACAGAGTAGAACATAGCCCCTCAGGGCAATATTTCTGAATCTAACCATTGCAAATTAAATGTCTCTTTGAATTAAGTATAATTTTGCAGGAAAATGTATTTATCCTTTAAAAACAAGATACTTAAATGCAAATCCCTACACGCCCAGTTTGGCTTTTCTCTTATTATTTATATTTATATTTACCAGCATTGTAGGAGATTTACCAAGTCTCTGTTTTCCCCTTTATCCAGCTGTATACATTTACCAGTATTGTAAGAATCTTATCATAGCTTGGTTTTCCTCTTAAACTAGCTGTCTATATATGATCATTATAGGAATCTTACCTGGAGTTATGCTCAAAACTTCGATGATATACATATGTGTTTTGTTTTTAGATTTTTTGGCAAATAAGTTCAATTTTTATAAAATTTCCAGTTTCTAAACTTACTTTTGCAGCTTAAATTTTTATAACCTTCAAGGCATCTAATTTGTAAATATTAAAATATATTTTCTAATTCTTCTGCATATTTTAATATTCACCACAAATTTAGAGAAAGTTAGGCAAATATTATATTCAGTCTCTTCCATCAGTATATTCAGTCACAACCTAATGAGAGAATAAAATGAAAATTATATTTTAAACTCCTTCATGTTGCATAGTGGCTGAGTTGTATTCCTGTAATGCTAAGATATGGGATTCTATCCCTGAAGAGATTACAGAATAGATGGCCCATTGTCTGGCTTCACAATTAAACAAAAAAACAGCTAATTCACAATCAGTAAGACAACTAAGAAAAAAAAATGGCTTGTTACATTGTGGCATACTAAGTTAAGTTCAAAAGTATTTGCATGGATGCTTGAAAACCTTTACATTTGTCTGTTTTGAAATCATGGCCTCGACAAATATATATTTTTAATGTTGAAATTCTGGAAGTGTCTGAAAATGGTAAATACTGTAAAAGTGGACAGTTGATAAACAACTGACCATCCTCCACAACTCTACATACCTTTGTATATAGCACTTTAACCTGACAGTAAAAATGCCTCTACATACATCTGCATATAGCTCTATCCTGACCACCATTAATTGGGAAGTATAGAGCACTTGGTTGACTACTACCATTATTAATCTGACAGTAAATACCCCTCAATTATTAGGGAACAGTATGTAAAAGATAAATTGAGAGTTAATAGGTGTAACCAGGTTTGTTTTTATTATTACCGTTTTGTTTGAACCAGAATACTGTAACACTGGTAGTGAATGGTATAGAAACAAGTTGGTGATTTGGGTGGTAAATAGAAGCAATTAATTAAACTATCTATGCAATTCTTCCTTTGAAGGGAAAATAAGATATTTATGTTTAAAAATCGTCCTCTCACTGTAATCACTGAGAGAATTCAGTTAATTTTGTGTGCTTATAAGAGGTGTTGTGTAACTGTAAATCTCATCTCTATAACTCTGTTCCTAAACTGATCTGCATTTTTGGAAGGTTTCATTAAATCTCTCTTATGTTTGCTTAACACTAAGTGTTTTTAAGATAGATATTCCTGCTAAAATACAGTATGATTGTATGTAGACTTAACAGATAGTCTACTTGTCAAGTGGATAGTTTTCAATGTTGAAATGTAGTCAGTCGGAATGTGGGGCAATATAATTTACACATCTTCTTCCTGTAATGAGCTCTCTCTTGTCGTTGGGTTTGACTTGCACTTATTATAAATGAATTTATTTATTACCAGAATATTTTGTTATATGCAGTCATGGGTAAGGCTCACAATCCACCAACTCAAGGAAATGTACATAAAGAACAAAAAACAACTGGGAGACCAGGTAACATAAAACATTGACTTAATTGAATAAATTCCGACAAGCTACATTCACACTACTCTCGCTAACATTTGTATATCTCATGAACAATTCCTCTACTGTACTTATTAATATCTCTGTGATAGTCAGGAAAGTAAGTAGCTTAACTTTTACTAGACCCTCTATCCTGATATACTATATAGCATTTATTTTAATAGACAAAGTAGAATGTTGGCATCATTTTAGGTGGAACAAAGCCATAACTACAACATGTGTTTTTGGCTTTTGATTAGTTGTTAGTTTTGTTCTAGAAATGAACCAAAACCATACTTACTGTTCCTGGGTTCCAGTTGGTTATTTCTCATGTACCAATAAGGTGCCGAATTAGCAATCAGACATACTGTTAACTCGTGTATTTTCCTTCTCAATTTTCTTAAGAGTTTGGCACATCCTTATCTGTATCTCTGACGTGCCTGGAATCCAGGCTGCTCAGCCTCTGCCTTGTATGTGTTTCCTACCATACACCCCTGCTGTGTAGGGCTTAAGTTTAATGTTTTTATTTCATTATCACCTTAACTCTGAACTCCTCCTGAATGTGGTTTGAGATATTCATTTGTATCTTAATAGTACACCCTAGACTCCATACAATTCTCATCAACCTGTTGGTTTAATAGCTTCTACTTCTTGCTGGTAAAACAAATTGCTGGTTTCTCTTTGTATTTTGTTATCTAAAAATCTAGGCTTGGAATATTTTTTCAATTAAGCACGTGTCCCATTTCCCTGAGTTTCTTCATGACCTTATTCAGTGACCCAATTTGCTTACTTGTATCATCTATATCTTGATATTACACCCTAGACTCCATAAAATTTCACCAAACTGTCGATTTAATAGCTTCTGCTTTTTGCTGGTAAAACAAATTGCTGGTTTTCTCTTTCTCTTTTTTTTATCTAACAATCTAGGCTTGGAATGTATTTTCCAATTAAGCATGTGTCCCATTGCATTGAGTTTCTTCGTAACCTTAATCATGAACCCAGCTTGCTTACATGTATCAGTGTCAAAACACTTTTCATTACTTTGTTTGGTTGAATAACATGTCCTGTAATTTTCTATTCCATTGTATTCTCTGTAATTATTACAAACCGAATTTTATACTAAATATTTTCTAATGAGCAATTGTTTTATTCTTCCATCCTAAAATATTTTTTCTTAATGAAAAATTTTCATATTTCCATTTCTTGAATCATTGTCTAGAAAGGTTTACACTATCCATTGTTATTTTACTTCCATTTATTATGGATTATTTGTGGACAATTCCAGTTATTATAACTAACCTTTAAGGTTTACAATACATTAACATAACTATTGTAGGTTTAGCATAATTGTTCAGATATTATTTCAATACAACCTTTCATAACACATATTCATACTCAAAGATTCCATGTTATACATTCTATTAACTATACGATTACCTACCAATCATTAGTATTAAGGCATAATCATATCTCAACTAATGATATTCCACATTATTATCTTCATACATCATTTTGTTTTGGTTACATATATACACACTTTTAACTACAGCATATAGTCACACCAAAACATACATTATATTCTAAAAGCAACACACATTTCATATTAAACATGTATATACCCATGGATTGGTTATACAGAATATGTATTTAGTTATTGAACCTCTACGTATTACATGAATAGACACAGTTTTAACACTTCCAGTCTTTAAAGTTCTCCTGGACACAAATAGTTCATGGGTGGTGTATGTGGCCACTCGTAAAGTGTACATATCTTCCAGGTACAAGAGTGTTTGTGGGGTTGCACATGGTAGATCACTGGGTTGATATTCAGATACCAATAAACTAGACAGCCCCAAACTCCATAAGTCATCACTATCCACAGTTAGTGTTATTCGTCTGTTGTTTCTCTTCACCACCGTTGTCCCACTTTTTTTCATTAATTAATCTAACTCTAATCATTTTGACATATTCTAATTATATTATAATTTACTAACCTCATCAATTCCCATTTACATTCACAAAATGTTGTTGCTCTAAATCATTTAATTCAACCATTTTACCTTTCCAAACTTTTGTAATCCATTAAGTTTTAACTGTTTGAGCAATGTCAATCAAACCTGTGCTGTATACAACAGTATGCTTATCAAGATCACTACTAAGCATAGTGTTATTAACACAGTATTTAGTTACTTCCACTTATCTATCTTACTCTTTGCTGTTTTAACCCTCAAGCATTCTAGGTGTTGTTGAAATTCTTTAATAGTTAGTCCTGACCTTTTAAGGGGTAAGTGCTTCATTTCTTCCAGTACAGTCTTTAGCTTCGAGATCTCTTAATTGGTTTCTGTTTCTTTAAAAAGTTGTAGTTCTTCGTGTGTTATAACTTTTTGCAAATCTGGGATCTTTCTGTTAAGTTTTGTGACCTTCTGTCTTACTGCTGAAACCAGATGACCAACTTATTCCTTGTCTGTGGGTGGAACAGTTTCTGGCTAATTTTAAATAATGACTCTCTTTTAAATTAATCACTTGGGTTCGGTAATCAAACACCAAATAACCAAGTTCCCAGTGTTTGTGTTTTATAAAAGCAGAAAGGCCTTGGAATGATAACACTGTTTTCACATAGTTTGGGTATTTTATCTTTCATGCCTATGAAAATTACAAAACTACATGTTAATATGGATACAGAATATATCCCTGAATTTGGATCACATACTTGGTTCTTCTACACATTTTAATATATCCTCCTGTCATTTGTAAATAAGTATGTTGATCATTGAACACTGCTGTGTAAGGTTTTTCACTTTCTACTGTTACAGCTAAAGGATTGTTTAGAGCCAAGGGTAAGGGAATTATTCTATACAATTTAAACATTTTGTCGGTAGCCGTCAAGGGTATTTCTATGCACATTCAAAGAGTGTTCTCTAATGCAACAGTCTTTACATCTGCCCATGTGTAGTGCATATAAATCTGAGTGCCACGTATGGGGATTACAAACAGTAAATGTGGGGAAGTCTTCCCTCAATTTTGTCAGATACG